TGTGCAGCAGATTCTTCAGTAGGAGAGGCATTGCATTGACCAGATAGTACACAGAGGAGTATTACAGTTTACTTTGATTACGGGCTTCCATCATCATTGGTTTGAGGTATTTTTCAAATGTTGGAAGTACCTGAAATGTAAATTTAGTAACGCAGGACAGACGTCGACATGAAGTGAAAATTCAAAAAAAATAGAAGCTGTCCAAAATTTTCGAGGTGCACAGTTCATGCTATTCCTACTAACGGAAAAAACAGGTGGATCGCTCGATTACAGTCTTGTCGGCACTGTGGACGCTGGGGCATTTCAGCGAGGCCGGGTTTGGTGCGACGCCAGCTGGTTTTCAACCAGTTGTGGTCCCCTGCTAGCCCTCACAATTGGTATAGAACAGGCTGGCGCAGCGCAAAATCCAGCCCCCCCCCCCAAAACGACCCAGAGTCCGCAGCAAACAACACTGTATATTACCGCTACCGCCTTAAAAGGAAGGGGATACCATGAAAAGGACAAAAGTGTCCAGGGCACATCGTCGCACTGCGAAAAATCTCGCCAAATGCACTCACCCCTGAAATTTACTCCTCTGGTATGACCTCCCATCCACAACCTACCTATAATCTTACCAGCCTTTACCTCATTCAAACCAAATTCTATCGAAATTTCGCCACCCAGCGATGGGTATGCAAATGATATCGTCGCGGTCTGGGCGTCGTCGTGGGGCATTGCGACAAACGAGCCAGCCACCACGTTTTCTACCACTGGTTCGACCGATCAGTAGCCGATCACCATTGGTAGAAAATGCAGCCAGGGCAGGCTCACTGCATGCATCTTAAACGGGCCCCACGGATTGCGATGATGTCAGCTGTATAGCGCTCATAAAAAAAATGGAGAGCCCGAGAATTTTTTCTCCGAGACGAAATGGGAGGTCCCTCCCCGGTACCTGAATACCATCCCCTTGTGATTTGTACTGCGGCTGATGTGCCCTACTCTGCTCACACGGCCAACGTGGATTGCGCCTTATTACAGCCATACCTGAGTCCGATTGAGTTCGCTCTCCTGCGCCCATTTGTACAAATTTTCATACACATGACCATCTCGTCGTCCGAGCACCTGTAAATTACGGATGGAATTACGCTAAAGAATAGAATGCTACAAAATTCCGTGCTTCTCCAGTTTTCACGTGCGAAGTTGTTCCTAATAAAGGAGTGCTTTGAAACAACAATCGCGCTTACCGATCTCAGTTCATGATCAGAGATATCCCACGAGTCTACAAGGGAGACTGCATTCGGTCGAAGTTTCGCAAGAAGTCGATACATGTCCTCTTTCATGAAATCCATTTGTTGACCGCATAAGTAACCGTCCTAAACAGTCAAAATCGCTGGTATAAGAAGAAATAATACGGTCCGGAAGATCCGAGTTCAGGGTACAGCATTCTTTGTATGAAACATTGTGGGCCGTACTTTTCCGATGGGGAGTGGGTCGTGTTTGGTCGTTGTTGGGAGAGGTTGGGAGTGGTGATGGGAGGGGGTTGGGGGGGAACTTTTTGCTCGACGGGAGTTTTTGGATGATAAATTGGAAAATGTGGGGTGGGAAATGAAAAAGTGGTAGGAAGTTGGGAACTTGTAGGAAGATGGTAGGTAGGTGTTAGGGAAGGTGAGGGTCGTACCGAGACCATCCCCTATGTGAGGGGTCGTACTGACACCTTCCCTGAGAGGGGAGGGGTTGTACTGACACCACTACTCCACACATCACGATGCTGTACCCTGTCCGAGTTGTGGTGGCTCACAGAAAGTGGTTCAGCTCAAGCGACTTCCTAGCTAGTTGGTTTGGCATACTTGTAGTACTTTCATATGAAAGAAATTAGGTTCTGGTGTGAGTGCCACGCACGCCCACTTGCAGGACCGTTTTAGCTGCGCAACCGCAACTCAGATCTCCTGATACGCACCTGAGATGAAAAATAAAAAACAGTGCTACCTCCAGCAGATAGTACGCCATGTCTAAGAGCTCATAGTTGAAATGAAGATGAAGGAGATCTCGAAGTACTTCGCGACATCTTGTGTCAACAACTGATTCCACATGTTCATAGAATTTACGAGCGATGTACCGCCTAGTATGAACCCGAGCAGCCTTAAAATATCAGGACCTAGAGAATAATAGCTCTATAAAATATAAAAATTATAAGGTAGTTAAGAACTCACTCGATTCAATTCAACAGCATTGGCGTTCCATGCGTCCTCTTTAGAGAGTCCCTTAGCCCTCAGTGATCGCATCCTTTCAAATGCCTTCATCACCTGCAATTTGGCTGCCTTGTCGAACGCCTTCAAATGGCCACTGTAGTCTGAAAACTAACAATTGATGGGTTATTTTTCACGGACCCATTAATCTTACTCTAGCGAGGCACTAGTTCATTACATTCATAAACGTGCTCCGCCTGTTGTAGGCTATCGTTCTCTGAACCAACAGGGGTAATCATACTGATACCGCAGTTTCAACCATCGCTATGCAGCACCCTGGTTTGGCATGTACGAGTTAGCTCTCATCCTTCCAGTCGGAGCAGTTGGCAAAATAAAAGGCACTGTGACAATCTCCAAAATTCAGGCCTGATTTCGATAGAAATATTTTCTTTTAAAGGTAGATTTAGCCAAAATTGCGTCTCCTAGTGTAGTGTTCCCACAGACAACATAAACATCATTCCCGTCTGGAACCTGAATTTATTTTGAATCGGAGGCGTTTCTGCATGGACTTTTGGCCTCATTTGTTTTATCCTTTTATTTGTACTATTATTCAATACATATTGTTTCCATTTATTCACACAATTTATATATTTTTATTTTATTTACTTATGCAACCTGTATATTATGTTATTTATTCATTACTTAGAGGGTCAGAATACCTCTTGAGCCAAGATTTCAACAAATTTGGTATTTCTAGGTGTCTTGGCGCTAGCGCCAAGGGCGACGGCGACGAACGGTTCCGACTCAATCAGTTGCAATATTGTTCTGCAGTAGTTGTTCTGGGGGTGATGCCTACCCCCCCTCCTAGTTGGAATTTTAGCCAAATCTATCCACGGTTAAAAACTGCGACTAGAAGCTGGCCGGAGTTTCGGGGAATGAGACATTGAAAGGGAAAGAGTGTCAAAGATAGGCGGTTAGTCAGCTCTAGTCACAATGTTCTATTCTATTCTAGATTTTACCAGAGGTTTGATTTTCGGGTTACGCATGTGAAGAAAAATATTCCCATTGACTCTCCCTCGCCCCCCCCTGCATTGCAATGACAAAGTGATGAGCGCACCTCGCAGTTTGTATCGCAGTGACAGGTGATGATTATTAAGATAAGGTGTTCTGTACGCTCGCATCGAAGCCGCTCGACCACTTGGCTAACAGAAGACGCACTGTTCTTTTTACAGCCCCATATTAAGGCGTAAGCTGAAGGAGCATACCGGCAGGTTGAGTTCAAAATAAAGCGCAAATTTCTGCAAGAGCAATTTGTTAAGCGTTCTCGAAGGGTGCGGTGATCATTAGCCTAGATGAACTTCCCTCGATAACGAGAGAACAAGCTTTTTTCACCACCCTGCGAGCTACAGTATAACGAAGAGAATTACATGCGTCTTCTGATTACACTAATATCAAGAGAAAACTTTTTCAAATGAGTATGAAAGATACCAGGATCCAGTTGACGATCAATAGTCGAGCATTTATCGCTGGGTTTCACAAGGTAGTCAACAAGCCTTCCGAGGGCTTGTCCTTTCTGGGCTGCTTCGGCTGCTCGCATCAGGTACCTATACAATGAATACATCAGATGGCGTTCTCTGGTAATAATGACCTATGACGTCGATTAGGCATGAGTTTTAGTAAAGGCCCCTAAACGCTGATTGTATAGGAGTACTAGGTCCACCAAGGTGCCTTCCTAATTCGCGCGCCCTCCTCTTTGCCGAGTTGGCAAACGCACACCAATGAGATGGGCGCAATGGCAGGCTCAACTCCGCTCATCCGAGCAGCGTGGACAGTGTCCTCAGCACTGTTGCCTGGGAGCCGGTAGTTTGCCGCGATTGGGAAGTACTAGCAATGAGACTCAATAATCCGCTCATATAGACTTGACTCCCTTGGCTATTAGTAATGAACTCGTGCTTGTTCTGACGTTTCTGTATAAAGAAAAACGATCAAAAAGTTTTTTGTGGTGATAATAGCGGTTTTATGCCGCAGTTCGCGCTCCAAAAGTTATCCCAAGAATGCCGAGTTTAGGAACACAAGCCTTGACTCCAGGCGGGACTTGAACCTTGTGATTTCTGGTAAAAGAGTACAAACAAACCTGGCCACTTGCTGAAGCATTACCATATTCTCCCCCTCATATGTACAAGCGCCGATGGCAACACCTGAAAAAAACGGGGTTTTCATAGGAAACATCCTAGAAGTTCCAACTTACAGTAGAGTTCCGGTATATTGCTTGCTTTTGAATACCCATGACCACCACAACTCATGCGAGCTTGTTCGATACCTTGACCGGTCAAATGGCTAACGACAGCTTTGAGACCAGAGGTTATGTAGTGCAATTCAGCCAGTTCATCGACCTTAATCACATTCTAGACTAATCGATAACCGATTCAAAACGGGTACTTACCGAGCATCTCCGTGCGCAAGAAACTGAAGAATTGTTTTTGTGAAATATGGGCTCGAGCACTTTTGAAAGTGAATTCACGGCTCCGTCATAGGGGAGGAGTCAGGTCTGCCATAAAGTCCACTTCCTTGATGCATTCCTGTTTACCGTTTTAGAAGGGAGGGTTCCGTCAGTAAGAAAGATAGGTTGTTGGGCTATACCACAGTCGTGGAAGTGAAGACGAAGCGCACTCAGCGGTAAAAACCAATCCGAAGGGAGAGGGCGCAGACAAGTAGCGTGTTCGGCTATGGTTAGGCATGCGGTTGGCCGTGCGGCGGAGCGGTCGGAGTATGGAGAGGCATGTGGCTAGAGACATCAGATGCGGGCATCATCACCCTCCAGCCGCACTCGCGCACTTCTGTACGGGGAGAGTGGCACACTACTGCAGCTGCGGACCCATTCTCATTACGCATGGCCACTATCTACGAGGTGTGAAGAGTTTGCCCTTCAATCTTTGCTTAATGACAACAGAAAATCAAGGGTCCACCATATTTCTGTTACTCATTTGTTATTATGAAGAATAGTGAAAGGAGCGTATTTTTCTGCAAGGGACATTTTGGAGGTTCAGATACGGTAGGTGCCAAGGTGGTACAGCGACCAAGAGCATGGATCGCAAGTCGAAGTTGTAATAGACTACTGCCCACGTCAAAAAGCCTCCCAACCATTCAGGATTACTTGAGTGGCACTGGAAGTGTCTGGGAGAATTAAAACACCGACTGTGAAAAACACTGCTGATCTCTGCAAGCCCATTCCCATTCAGGAGAATACCACTACGATGCTACGATCGTCAATAGAAGTGACATGCGTCTCAAAAGGGGCTGATCAATATCGAAAGCTTTTCTTTGTCAGGACAGAAATTACCATTTCATTTGGCCCATGCCGTGAAAGTGAAGCAGTTTGCATCTGCATTCTTCCGTAAATGAATGGTAGATTCGAATCCGCTCCTTTTGGATATTTGATGGTATTATCCTTGACGCTCACGCGTCCTTTCCTTGCTTAGTTTCGTTGGAATTGAAAA